AGCCGAATAAAATTTTATAAAATACGGACCACGGCTACCCGTGCCGACTTCCAGTCTAAGTTATAAAAATAGGCGTTGTACAGTTCACGTGGTTTGCTAATTTACTCATTTTACTTTAGTATAAGATGTATACAGTATTATAAAACATTATTTAGTAGAAAGAAAAATTCTAAGCAAGAATAGTTATAACTTTTGTTTTCAATTACCCTTTTGGAACATGTCAGAAATGTTCTTAAAAAATATTTTCCTTTTTTTAATGCATTTTTAAGAATCTTAGTTTAATTTAAATCCCCGGAATATATACAAGGATATTAAAGGGTCAAAATTGCAAAGGATATTTTTAAAATTTTTTAATTAATACTCAACCCGAGAAGACATGTCAAGCACTAAATTCCTTTGTTTTGTTTAATTAATATTATGAAAGACATTTTAAAAGGAAGAAAATAACACCGGTTTATAGCAAAAATGTTCAATGGAAGCCACTATCCAATTCCAATGTAAATTACTCGGTGATTCTGAAAATCGAGTTAATTTTTTTTTCTATGGATATGTTTTCGAGATATTTTCAATTTACCGTTATTCAGCTTAAAACAAAAATTAGTTCCACTTAATTACGTATATCTTACAAACCAATTTAACAATCTTAACATAAGATCCGTCAAATCAAAGCTAATAAAATTCTCCATAAACTATATAGACATCACTTTCCGATAGGACTGATAGTTTCTGAAAATTAAATAACATTCCGGTTTTTTTTTTTGTAATTTTTAATGAAAAAAATATTTTAGGAGAAGAAAAATTTAAAAAATGTCAGGTTCTTTTACAAAAAAAAATCAAATTACTAATGAATAAAATCGATCGATAAATAAGAAATGATGAGCGGTCAAATGAAAATACGCAAAGATTTTTTGTATGAATAATGAGCTGGAAGGACAGTTACCCATACGCCAAATACACCAGAAATTCGTTTGATAACGGATGTTGTGATTCAGGCCCAGTTTTGTGTATGTATATCGTCGTTTAAAGTACAAAACCGCGTATCAACAAAATGCAAAACCGCGTGAAATTGCATAAATTATTTTCTAGAGAGTAAAAACACTCATATTTCAAAATGGTTCTCTTTTTTATAAAGCAATAGCACTTCTGGCTAGTATATTTCAGAATGAATGGATAAGGAGTGAGCCAAGAGCTCGTGTGAGCAAATCCTATTTTTGGCTGCCAATGTCAGTTACGCGGTTTTGTACTTTAAACGACGGTATGTGGTTTGTTGACGTGAAATAGTGTATTTTTTTTGTTTTATATAAAAAATAAAATTTATCCCAAGGCGAATTCATATAAGGTGACAGCAGGAGTGCAAAACAGAACAAAAATTACACTTTTTTACGCAGAATGTAAGTAAGAATTAGAACAAATACATCATACGGCCGCTCTCGTAGCACCATATTTTATGAAATCACCATGTTTTATCCTTTATAGGTAAAAGTTATTTAATATTGGTTCTTTTAAAAAATCTTCCAACTTCTACCATTTTTTTGTGTAAAGTCTATCACTATTAATTTTCTTGCAGTCCGTGCACTGATCACACTACACCAATAAACATGGTTTTCACATATTGGTATTTTAATTATTTTTTCCTTTCTTCGTACTTTCGCACCAATATGTGCTGCTTTGTAAAACGTACGGGGTATTCACCAAATTGGGCAGGCAAGTGATCTGGCACTTGTGCAAAAGAGCTGATTACCTCAAAGCAACATAAGTTATAAAAGTTGTTGCTTGTGCTAATCAGGTCTTTGTGCCAGGGCACTTGCTCAATTTGGCGAATATCCCTATTATTTTTCCCAGACCCGACAATTTTCCAAGTCCCATAGAGAAAAATGATTAAACTCGATAGTTTCGGCAACATAGAGTTTTGTATAAAACAATTGCAAAAAAATTAAGGTTTCATTCGCTTACACGGTAAGATTAACACTTTCCTAGTTATCAGATTATCTGGTTAAAAACTGTTATTGTGTAATGTATTTTATTGTTATAAACCGAATAAAAAGTATAACCACAT